GAGTCAAAAGTGTTCACTCTGCTGGGATGCGGTGGCTCAGCCTGTAATCCTAGCACTCTGGGAGGCTGAGGTGGGAGGATTGCTGAGCTCAGGAGTTCGAGACAGCCTGAGAAGAGGGAACCCGTCTCTACTAAAATAGAAAGAAATTAATTGGCCAACTAAAAAATAATATAGAAAAAAATTAGCCGGGCATGGTGACACATGCTTTAGTCCCAGCTACTAGGGAGGCTGAGGCAGGAGGATCGCTTGGGCCCAGGAGTTTGAGGTTGAGTGAGTTAGGGTGATGCCATGGCACTCTAGCCCGGGCAACAGAGTGAGACTCTTTCAAAAAAAGAGTCTCGCTCGTAGCTTACTGCAGCCTCAAACTCCTGGGCTGAAGCAATTCTCTTGTCGTAACCTTCTGAATCGCTGGAACTACAGGAGTACACTAGTACGCCCAGCTAATTTTTCTATTTTTAGTAGAGATGGGGTCTGGCTCTTGCTCAGGCTAGTCTCCGAACTCCTGAGCTCATGCGATCCTCCCACCTCAGCCTCCCAGAGTGCCAGGATTATAGGCATTAGCATCTGTGTCCAGCCTATGGTTTTTTTAGAACTGCATTGCTTTATTTTCAAACATTTGGGGATTCTCCCTTATTTTTTTTATATTTTATATTTTTTATATGGTTGCTTGAGCTTAATTCTACTATGATCAGAGAACATGCTTTGACAGATTTCAGGTCTTTGAAATGTTTTGAGAGTTACTTTACGGCCTGGCATGGTGGATTTTGGTAAATTTTTCCGTTGTCCCATGAAAATAATGACTATTCTTTTATTGTGTATGGTGTTCAATTTTGTCAATGAGGTTAAATATTGTAAATCATGTTGTTCCAATGTTGGTTATCCTTACTGATTTGTTTTCTACCTTTTCTATCATATTTAGAAAGGTGTGTTGAAGTCTCTCATTACTATTGTGAATTTGTCTATTTATCTTTCCAGTTTTGTCAATTTTTGTTTATGTATTTTGAAGCTGCATTATTAGGTGGGTAAAAATTTAAATTGCCTTTTCTTTTACTTTATCTTCAGCTTCTTTCCTGGTGGATTTACCCTTTGATCATGTTGAAATATCTGTCTTTAAAATATGTGTCTTTAATAATATTTATAACATCTAGTAGCTAGTATTAGTGATGTCTAGCAGATTTTTCCTTAAGGTATGTCTGCTGTTGTAGTAGCTATGCCAGGAATGTGTGTGTGTGTGTGTGTGTGTGTGTGTGTGTGTGTATGAGAGAGAGAAAGAGAGAGAGAGAGGGAGAGAGAGACAGGAGTGCTTCAGCTCCCTTTGGGAATATTAGTGTCTTGTGCCTGATTCAGCCACGGTGTTCTTTCTTGGCTTTTCCTCACTGCTCCCAAAGTCCTCCCCTTTACCTGAAGTGCACGTAGCCGCTGGGGGCTGAGTTACCATGGGGGTGGCTGTATCCTAGGAAGGGCGTGGGGTGTGTGGAGTGGGGGTGGCTGTGGGCGAGACTGGCCAGGCGGCTGACCTGCCAAGCTGGGGCTGCTGCCCGCCTGAGGGCTGTTGGAAACTGGAGCTCAGGCCGGAAGAAGGGAGCCCATGAATAATACAGCGGGAGGGAGGCTGTTAACTAGGTGACCTCGTTGCACCTGTGTGCTTCACAGCTTCCTCGGGAGCCACTGTAGAGGGCTGGGGTGTCAGAGGCGAGGGCAGAGGGGCCTGGGAAAGGCCAGGTGGAGACACAATTTCTCCGTTTCCCTTCCTGCTTTCCTTTTAGCTGCCTGGCTGAGAGGTTCAGTGTACTAACCACTCCTCCTTTCTGGCGTTGACCCAGACGGCCTTGGATGCGTGCGCGCGTGCGCGCGGTGTGCGTGTGTCTGGGTGTGTGCACACGCATGCGTTGGCTGAATGTGAGGGTGGGCCTCCTCTCGTGCCCTGCCCCCAGGTCTGATGTCCAGGTCTGTTTGCGTCCTGGGTATCAGGCCTGCCCTTGGTGTCCGGCCCAGATCCGCTGTGTCACTTTTGCCAAGGCGGCCCTCTCTCTCTCTGGGCTACTTCTGGCTGCCATGGATAAAGAAGGCTTCTGGGCAGGACCTTTTGTCTCCTGAGGCTTTGGGCTCTGGCGAGGGGTAGAGGATACCCTAGCTCTCCCTTCTAATGCTGTGGAGTCTGTCAATTGAAGTGTTTGTCACCGGAGCCCTGGCTACACCTGTCCAGACCTGACACACAGCAGCTGCTGCAGCTCCGTCCCAGGCGGGCGAAGGAAGCCCCTGGGCAGAGATGAAGACCTCTTCGAAGGGCAGGAGGCTTAAACACAGTGTTTAGGAGCAAAGGAAGTGGGATGACTTTGCAGCAGGAGGGGTTGAAGGCAGACCCACGGAGGAACTGGGTATGTGTGTGTTGGGTGGAGGCTGGAGGCTAGAATTCATTCCCAGAGGAGCCTGGCTTTTCCTTCCTAGGGGCTGTTTCCTGAGCTCTGGCCTGGGGGTGGGCAGCAGAGGGCCCCTGGCCAGTGCCTGGGACAGGAAAAGGTGCTGCTGGTGTCTCCTTCCTCCATTGTCTTGAGTGCTGCCATCAGGGGCCTGACCCCATAGCTTCTCTGCAACCCTCCTCCCCAGCATTGTAAAGGGACTTCTCCCCAGGCCCATGCTGCAGCCTCAGCCTGCTCCCCAGGGTTAGGAGCCCAGGCCCGGTGGCTGGGGCCTGCCTGCTGCCCTGCAGCCTTAGAACTGAGCCTTCAAGAGGCTACACAACGTGCACAGGCACGTTGACCTGCCTGGAAGAGATGGGGAGTAACTCTTCCTTTGTGCCTGCTCTGGGTGGGTATGGCTGGGGCACCAGGCCTTAGCTGAGGGCCCATCTACTAAACAAGGGGAAGTATTTCTGGCTCTGGAGCCAGACTAGACTACCCAGGTTCAAATCTTACTTAGCTCTTCCACTTATGAGCTGTGTGACTTCTGGCAACTTAATCAATCGTTGATCATTCTGTTCTTTAGTTTTCTCATCTGGAAAATGGGGATAACAGTATCTAACTCAAAGGGTTATTGGGAGGATTAAATGAGTTATCACCTGTAAAATGCTTAGAGAAAGTGCTTGCCACATAGTAAATGTTCAACAAATGTTGCTATTGTTTATTATGATGCTGCTGTTATTCTCAGCTCCTGTATCCTGGGAGCTCACGGTCTTGCAGGCTGCCTGGGGGTGCCAAGAGTAACTGTCATATCTATGCAAAAGGCTATGTAGGTTGAAAGAGGGAGCAGCTCTGGAAGACTTCCTGGAGGGGAAGGACCACTTGTCCCGAGGTTGTGACTTCTCTCTGTGCCCAGTAGCACTGTGCTTCCCATGGCAGGAGGGCAGAAAGAGAGGCAGGTGGGCAGCAGTCAGTAGTAGCACTGATGTTGGTGCCCAGCCAACTGGGACTTTTTTAGTCAACTTTTTAATTGAAGTATAACACATACAGAAAATTGTACAAATCATATGTACAAGTCATGTAGCCTGAGTGATCACAGAGGAACTACTTCTATATAACTGTCACCCAGACCAAGAAAAAAGTGGTTACCCAAAGCCATCTCCCCAGCATTTTCTCCCAAAGGTTACTCCTATCCTGACTTGTAATACCATAGATTCATTTTGCCCATTTTGAACTTTATATAAATTGAATCATACAGTGGGTTTTCTTTGTGATGTTTTCTTCCACTTAACTTGTTTGTGAGATTCATCCTGTTGTGTACAGTTAACGCCGGTTCATTTTCATTATTGCATGGTTGTCTGTGGTGTGAATATACCATGATTTAGTCATTCTTCTGTTGATGGACAACTGGGTTGCTTGCAGTCTTGGGCTGTTATGAACATTTGGTGCATGTGCCTTTTGGCATACATATGTGCATATGTAATTCTATTGGTATTTGACTGTTCTTATACCAATATAAGCTTTATAGCTTAATTACTATGGCTTTATATATATGGTCTTGATATCTGATAGTGTAAATCCTTCAGTTTTGTTCTTCTACAAGACTCTTGTTTATTTTCAGCTTTTTGCATTTCTATATGAATTTAGAATCATCTTTTGAAATTCCACAGAAACCCTGCTGAGATTTTGATTGAGAGAGAGAGAGGTCAGTTTGAGGAGAATTGACGTCTTTATAATATTGAGTTTTCCAATCCATAAACAATATATGCTCCTCCATGTATCTAGTTCATAATAAATTTCATTCAAGAGTGCTTTTTAGTTGTCTGTGTAGCAGTCTGGTACTTTTTAAATTAGATTTATTTCTATGTGTTTTATGTCATTTATACTGTTGTAAGTGATTTTTTGTTTCTTATTATTTGTTTATCATATAAAAGTACAATTGATTTTTAAAAATATTGACCTGTTTTCTACAACATTAATTAAATTTACTTATTAATTATGGTAGTTTATCTATAGAATTTTTTGATTTTTTAACATATATGATCATGTTTTCAGTAACTAATAAAAGTTTTGTATCTTCCTTTCAATATTTTTTTTTCTTGACTTATTGCAATGGCAAGGACTTATAGCAAAATAATGAATGGAAGTGATGCTAATGGGCATCCTTATTTTGATTCTGGTATCAAAGAGAAAGTTTTTCATAGTTTACCATTAAGTATGATGTTTGCTGTAGGATTTTTTGTAGATGCCACTCATCAAATTAAGAAAGTTTTCTTCTAATCTTTTATTTTTAAAATTGTGGTAAAATATATATAAAATAAAATTTACCATTTAAACCATTTTTAAGTGTACAGTTCTGTAGCATTAAGAACATTTCTAATGTTGTGCAACAATTTCCACTATCCATTTACAAAACTTTTTCTTCATTCCAAAGAGAAACTTGTATCCATTAAATAGTAACTCTCTATTCTTTCTCCCACAGCCCCTGGTAAACTCTTCTATTTTCTGTCTCTATGAATTTGCCTATTCTAGGTATCTTGTGTAAGTGGAATCATACAGTAATTGTCTTTTTGTGTCTGGCTTATTTTAGTTAGCATAATGTTTTCAAGGTTCATTCATATTGTAGCATGTATACAAATTTCATTTCTTTTAAAGGTTGAGTAAGACCACACTGTGTGTGTTTGTATATATATATATATATATATATATATACACCAGGTTTTTTTTTTGTTTTGAGACAGAGTCTCACTCTGTTGCCCTGGCTAGAGTGCCGTGGCATCAGCCTAGCTCACAGCAACCTGAAACTAAACAACCTGAAACTAAACAACCGGCTAATTTTTTCTTTATATATTTTTAGTTGGCCAATTAATTTCTTTCTATTTTTAGTAGAGACGGGGGTCTCTCTTTTGCTCAGGCTGGTTTCGAACTCCTGACCTTGAGCGATCCGCCCACCTCGGCCTCTCACAGTGCTAGGATTACAGGCGTGAGCCACCATGCCTGGCCTATACCAGATTTTATTTATCTATCTGTTAATAGACATTTGGAGTGTTTCCACCTTCTGGTTATTATGAATAATGCTGCTGTGAACATGAATGTACAAATATCTGTTTGAGTCCCTGTTGTCAGTTCTTTTGAGTACATACCTAGGAGTGGAATTCCTGGATAATATGGTAATTCTATGTTTAAGTTTTTCTAGAGACTATTATGCTATTTTTCACAGCAGCTGCACCATTTTGTATTCCCACCAGCAATGCAATTGTATTACAGTTTCTCCACATGTCAATACTAGTTATTTTTTATTTTTCGATAATAGCTGTCCTGATGGATATGAAGTGGTATTGCATTGTGGTTTTGATTTGCATTTCCCCAGTGGCTAGTGAAGTTCAGCATCTTTTCATGTGCTTATTGTTCATTTGTATATCTTCTATGGCAAAATGGCTGTTTGAATCTTTTGCCTAGTTTTGAATTGGGTGATTTGTTGTTGTTGAGCTGTAGTTCTTTATATATTCTGGATATTAATCCTTTATCAGATATAGATGTATAAATATATTTTTCCAAGTCTGTAGGCTGCTTTTTTACTCTGTAAGTAATATCCTTTGATGCATGTAAATTTTAATCTTGCTGAAGATCAAACATCTTTTTTGTTATTATTTCTACTGACGCTTTTGGTGTTGTATCTGAGAAATCATTGCTAAATCCAGTATCATGAAGATTTTTCCTCTGTATTTTCTAAGGGGAATATACTTCTAAGAAGTTTATAGCTTTAGTTCTTATGTTTAGGACTTTGATCCATCTTGAGTTAGTTTTTGTATATGGTGTAAGGTAGGAAACCAATTTGATTCTTTTGCATGTAGATATAGTTTTCCCAGCATCATTTGTTGAAAAGACTGTTTTTTCCCCATTGAATTATCTTGGCACCCTTGTTGAAAATCAGTTGACCATATATGTTATGGTTTATTTCTGAGCTTTTCATTTTATTCCATTGGTCTATATGTTGGTCTTTATGTCAGTACAGACCACCTTTTTGTTGTTTGAGACAGGTTTTGCTATGTTGTCCAGGCTGGTCTTGAACTCCTGGCCTCAAGTGATCCTCCCATCTTGGCCTCCCAAAATGCCGGGATTACAGGTGTGAGCTACTGCACTTGGCTGTTACCATACTTTTTGATTACTGTAGGTTTGTAGTAAGTTTGAAATCAGAAAGTATGAGCCCTCCAACTTCATTCTTTCTCAAGATTTTTTTCTCTATTCAGGGTTTTATTGAGATTCTATCTCAAATCTTAGAATGGATTTTCTATTTTGTGAAAAACACCAATGGGATTTTGATGAAAATTGAATAAAATATCTATGCTTTGGTAGTATTGTACCTGAACAATAGTAGTAGACTTAACAATTGTAAGTTTTCCAATCTATGAACACAGAAGTCTTTTCACTTATTTTTGCCTTTAATGTCTTTCACAGCAGTATTTTGTAGTTTGTTGGTGTACAAGTCCTTTGCCTCCATGGTTAAATTTATTCCTAAAGTATTTTTTTCTTTTTGATGATATTGTAAACTGAATTGTTTTCTTCATTTCCTTTTCAGATTGTTCATTATAATGCGGTATAGAAATACCAACTCATTTTTTATGTGTTGAATTTTTTTTTTTTTTTTGAGACAGAGTCTAGTCTCTGTTGCCCGGCTAGAGTGCCTGGCATCACCCTAATTCACTGTAACCTCAAACTCCTGGCTCAAGAGATCCTCCTGCTCCAGCCTCCTTAGTGCTGGGACTACAGGCATGTACCACCACACCTAGCTAATTTTTTATATATATTTTTAGTTGGCCAATTAATTTTCTCTATTTTTAGTAGAGACGAGGGTCTCCCTTTGCTCAGGCTGGTTCGAACTCCTAACCTTGAATGATCCGCCTGCCCTTGGCCTCCCAGAGTGCTAGGATTACAGGTGTGAGCTACAGCACCCAGCCTATGTGTTGATTTGTGTAATG